TGAGAGGGATCTCGGAGTCTTAGCAGACAACCAATTAAATATGAACCAACAGTGTGCAGCAGCAGCCAAAAAAGCCAATACAATCCTAAACTGCATTAACAGAATCAAAATCATGTGAGGTACTAATACTGCTCTATGAAGCCTTTAGCAAGACCACACCTAGAGTCCTTCATCCAGTTTTGGTCACCACATTATAAAAAAAGATGTTGAGACTGTAGAAAAAGTGCAAAGAAGAGCAACTAATATGATGAGGGGACTGGAGGCTAAAACCTACGATAAGACGGTTGCAGGAACTGGGCCTGGCTAGTCTAGGGAAGAGAAGGACCAGGGGAGACAGGAGAGCAGTCTTCCAAGATTTGAGGGGCTGCCCCAGAGAGGAGAAAGGGGGTCAAGCTATTCTCCAAGGCACCTGAAGGCCAGACAAGGAACAATGGATGGAAACTGATCAAGGAGGAATTTTTTGACAGTGAGGACAATCAATCCACGGAACAGAAATTGCCCTCAGAAGTTGTGGGAGCTTCATCACTGGAGGCTTTCAAGGAGAGACTGGACAGAAATAGTATAGGGTCCCCTGCTTGGGCGGGGGGTGGGTGGGTTGGACTAGATGACCCACAAGGTCCCTTCCAACTCTTGTTATTCTGTATGTTTTTTCCAAACACAGTGCAGACCTGCTGACTGCCTCAGGTGCCAGCTGTATCTGGACAGCGTCGAAGGCAGGGAAGCACCGTCTTCGATTAAACCGCCTCCTTCAGACGTACGAAGAGTTTCAAGGAAACCCTCCGATTGATCCGAAGCCGGGCGACTTAAGCAAAGATGACAGCTCCCCTTTAAACATGTCCTCTTGAGGAAGCAGATCGGCATCCGTGGACAGTGGGAAGACAGTATTTGTCCAGATCAACACATTAAAAGGAATCGATAGATTAAAAGAGTGCATTTTGCACAAACCTCAAAGAAAGAAAAAAGTAAGACGCCACTCAATAAACAGAGTCAGCAGGAATGAGAAGGGAGAGAGGGCGGGGGCGGCGGCTGGAAAAAGAAGCGATTCGACCCAAAATCTCACCAAGAGGTCAAGCATAACAGAAAAGGCTTTGACAAATTAATGCATTCTTCCAATAAAAGTTTAATATATGGAAAAACTGACAGCGACTAGAAAGGCAATAAATACAGTGGATAAGACAGGTTCTATGTAACTTATAGAAAGGGCTTTCAACAAACTTTTTTTTTTTTTTAATGCGTGCACATGGGCCTCTCTCGCTAAGTTTCTGGCCCACAATTATATTTCGTCAAACTCTAAAGATCAGAACACAGAAGAGGAAAAAAAAGGGATGGACCTGTGTCCCAATTCTGGCAACAACAACAACAACAAGAGAAAGAGAGAGTGAGAAAGGAAGGGGAGGAGGAGGAGGAGGAGCGCCCAAAGCCACAGCAGGGCGAAAACAGAGCCTCCTTCCGCGAAGGGGACGCGGTGGAGGGAGGGGAGGGGAAGGGAGGAGAGTGCGAGAGAGTGTCAGCGAGCATCTGGGCTCAAGGAGACGCTGATCCCATGCCAACAGTGACAAACGTGGCTGTAAATGGCATTGGAGCGAGATGCTGACACCCTGCGAACACAAGGTTACCCTTCCCATTGGGAGAGGGAGCTTTAACAGGCCAAAACCGACAGCGGGGAAATGAGAGGCCAAAATTATTAATAATAACAACAACAACAACAATAACGATGGTCATCGTAGACTCTGCGGCTCCCCGCCGTCCTGGACCCATTTGCCACTGCTTGAGGACAAAGCGCGGATTATTTAAGCTTGAAGAAGGTTGTTTCAAGGGGACTGGGTGGCTTGCGGTATAAACTGGAGCGAGGGTCTTTGAGGGGGGAGAGGGCGAAGGGGGATAATTTCATAAACGGTTGCGGGTAAGTTTCTAGTCCTCGTGGTCCCTGCCATGAACTCAATCATGGCAATGTCTGCCAAGGACTGGGGAGAGAGGGAGGAGGGGGATAAACCGATGCTTTCTGCTACCCGAGAGAGAAATCGTGCTTTTCTTTCAATCCTTTTTGAGTCTTATGCATAGTTCCTATTAAGGGCTCTACCGTTCCTGAATGTTTCACCATTGAAACAAAGGTGAAAAGAGGAGGAGGAGGAGGAGGAGGAGGAGGAGGAGGAGGAGGAGGAGGAGGAGGAGGAGGAGGAAGAAGAAGAAGAAGAAGAAGAAGAAGCATCCCCATGGTCATGTAATCGAAATTGAGACACTTGGCAATTGACTCGTATTTATGACGGTTGCAGCCTCCTGGGGGTGGGGGGGATCATGCAATCCCTTTTGCGGCCTTCTGACAACGGGGAAAGCCAGATTGACTTTAACAACCACGTTAGGGACGGAACAACTGCAGTGATTCCCTAAACACCCGTGGCACAAGAGGTCACAACATGGGGGCAAAAGGCGCTCAGCAAGCGGTTAACTCGGCCACAGAAATGCTGGGTCAACTGTGGGTGTTAAGTCGAGGACTACCCGTGGATTACGGAAATTGGAACAGGATTTTGGGATTGATTCAGAAGTCTGTGGTTATCCCTCCACCCCACCCCCCAAAAAGCCTTAAGGGCTCCCTAACTGGGTCTGCAAAGTCATGAGATCTAAAAAAGTCTAAGATTAGCCTTTGGCCTACAGGGACGGCAATTGGGCAGCCCGACGCAGACATCAGGCAAGCGAGTCAAGCTACAACTGGGAAGTAAACGATCCAATTAGTTCAAGGTCTCCGCAGAGCCCAGTGCTGGTAGATTGGATTAGGCGATGCCTAAGCAGAAAAGGAAGAAGGGAACGGGAGAGTAAGCAAAACAAAAAACAAAAAAACCCAAAGAAAACCAAAGAAAAGATTAATTAAAAGAGGAAGAGAGGAAGGAGCCCTCGCCCACGGAATGATACATGGCTTCCCCCCAAAGGGCTCTTAACTGGGCCCCTGTACGCAGAGGGGTCTCACCTCCACCAGATCAGGTTTTATTCCAGGGCACCGTTTTAGCATTGCGGTGCGCTCCTCTCCCGCTACCCACCCTGCTTTTCCCAACGAATTATTTTTATTTTATATCTATGTCTATATATAGATATATAGCTGCTATGCGTTCCTCTTTCCTCGGAGCAATTACGCGGCAGTATATAAAGAGCAGGGGAGATGATGTTAATTAAACAGAAGATAATTTTCTGTCAGCCCACAGAGTGGGGGGCCAAGGGGTGTGGGGTGGGGGGGGAGGAGGAGAGGAGAGGAGAGGGGAAAAAGAGCAAGCTAGCTGGGCCTTGGCTCCTTGGAAATTTTTCTCTCTTCAAAGTACAGGTATTGGTGTCAGCAAGAAAGGGGCTAATTTATTTAAATAATAATCGTAATAAACTTGACCAAAAAAAAAAGATTACTGCTGGGAGATGTAGAGCAAAGAATAGGAGTTGAAAGTACTGGATGTGCAGCAAATACTCCTAGTCCACACACACACACACACACACACAAAAAACACAATGATGCCAAGGTGAAAGTGGACACACAACAGGGGTGTGACGTTTTAGGTCGGCAGATCCTTCCCAGGTTAGGTTGGGAAAGAGGGACTGTTAAACCAAGTCTGGCTTTCTTAGCTTATTCCTGGTGTGTCTGCAAAATGTCAGGATGGGAAATTCTGGCTTAAGTGTTCACATGGGCAATAACGACGTCTGCGGGTTTTTGTTTTTTTAAAAAAGAACAGTGAGGGGTTCTGGAATGTAACAGATCGTTCCTCGACTTACGAGCACAATGGAGCCCAACGTTTCTGTTGCTAGGCTGAATTTTGCCCCATTTTATGACCTTCCTTGCTGCAAAAGGGGATCGTGTGACCCCGGGACACTCCATATGAGTCAGTTGCCATCTGAATTTTGATCAGGTGACCTGGTGATATTGCAACAGTCTAAGTGTGAAAAACGGTCATTAGTCACCTTTTTAGGGACGTTGCCACTTGAAACGGTCACTAAATGAACTGTTGTTAAGTCGAGGACCACCTGTCTTTCAAAAGTTGTACGGCTGAATATCGTATTACAAAAATGGCCAGTTTATAAACAGATGACAACTGTAGCTTCTCTGGATTATTTATTCATCCTGCCTCATGTCTACACACTGCAATCCAATGCACTTTTTTCAAGCAAGCCACAACCTGGTGAGTTTATACTTCCTACAAAGCCATGAACTACAGTCCACGAATCCTAACTGGGTTAACACAACACATTATGTTGTGACTTAGTGTTATAGGTGAATCTACCTACTGAATAATCCACTTTAAGTAAGATAAAAGGACCACAAACCTCTTTGCCCCAAGGCTGTTTGTTGAAGAACAGCGGAATATAAAAAAAATGCAAACGGGAAGGAAGGGAGGAAAGCAAAGGATTTGTCTAGGTAATTAGAACGGCAGCAAAAAAAAACACAATTAATACCAACCTGCCTTCCAACGAGGACCTGAGTACTGCAGGAGTCAAAAAGAGGGCTGTGAAAATATCTACAGACCCCTCACATCCTGGACATAAAACTGTTTCAATTTCTACCCTAAAAATGACGCTATAGGGCACTGCACACCAGAACAAATAGACACAAGAACAGTTTTCCCCTCATGCCATCACTCTGCTAAACAACTAACCCCCACAACGTCAAACTATTTACCAAGACTGTATTACTATTATTCTTCTCATCCTTCCTATTACCTATCTCCTTTTCTACTTATGACTATAACCTTGTTGCTTGTATCTTCGCAGTTTATATGGTTTTATTTGGTTCCCTAGTATGATCTGATTGCTTATATAGCATCCTATGACTATCACTAAGTGTTGCATCTTATGATTCTTGATGAATGTATTTTTTATGCACACTGAGAGCTTATGAACCGAAGACAAATTCCTTGTGTCCAATCACACTTGGCCAATAAAGAATTCTATTCTATTCTATTCTGTTCTGTTCTGTTCTGTTCTGTTCTGTTCCCATTCCCAGGTAAGGCTTATAAACTGCACACACTCACCAGGGCCTCTCGCGATGATGCTCCATTCTCAGTTCCAGAAGAGCTGATCTGTGCAAAGAAAAACCAAGGTTAGACTGCCACCCAATGGTCATCTCTAAGCAACCTTACAGTCACACAACACAGAGGTGGGAGAACTGCCAGGAGTGCAAACCTATTACAGGTAGTCCTTGACTTACAACAGTTCATTTAGTGACCATTTAAAGTTACAATGGCCCTAAAGAAAAGGACATGGCCGTTTTTCACACTTATGAGTGTTGCAATATCACCGCGATCACATGATCAAAGTTCAGACACTTGGCAACTGACTCATATTGACGACGGTCACGGGGTTCACATGATCCCCTTTTGCGACCTTCTGACAAGCAAAGTCAATGGGGGAAGCCAGATTCGCTTAACAACCGAGTTCTTAACTTAGCGACTTGCAGTGATTCACTTAACAACGGTGGCAAGGTAGCAAACTGGGGCAACACTCACTTAACAAATGTCTCACTTAACTACAGAAATTTTGGGGCTCAATCGTGGTCGTAAGTCGAGGGTTACCTGTTTAAGTCTCTGATCTAAGACTAATAAACGGATTGATTACCTGTATTACAAAACAAGTTGCAATTAAAAGGGTACAGTAATGGAAAGGCTGCAATCATTGAGGAAATAAGAAGAAACTTTCTGACAGTGAGAATAATCAACCCAGGGAACAAAAATTGCCTTTGGAAGTTGTGGGAGCTTCATCCCTGGAGGCACAGAGAGACTGGGCTGCCATCTGTCAGAAATGGTCTATGGTCTCCTGATCGGGCAGTGGGGTTGGACTAGATGACCTACAAGGTTCCTTCCAACTCTGATTATCTGTTAAATCTGATTAGCAATGTTAGAATAAATGGTCTGGTCTGGTCTAAAGTGGCGTGGCTCTTCATTTCAAGCATACGAACATTTCAAGTACAAATCTAATTCTGCTTCGTTGCTGGATTAGGACCAACGGAGAGTTAAAATGAGGGACTCGTGGATTTTGCACCTGCATTCGAGGGTGCTACCTGGATATGAACTAAGTTTAATGCACTTGTATAGCTCAGGCTGTTTCTTGCAAACCGGCTCGGGGTGTGACTTCAGTCTGCGGCTTGGCAGAAGGGAGAGTAGAAAGTTGGTACCAAAGTAAGACTAACTACAACTGCCCTGGGGTTGAGGGAGACCTTGGTGCTCTCTGAGCCTGGTGGTTTTCTTGCAGGCGTTTCATGACCCAACTAGGTAACATCATCAGTGTTAGTAAGGAGGGGGTTTGCTGTCAGTTTATATTCTTTGGCAGTTTGATTGGGGTATTGCTTACTTGACGCTCTGCTGTTACATTCTTAACAATAAAATACTGCCAAAGAGCCAACAGGAAACAATCCAACCAAAGACTGACTAACACCACCCCAAACAAGCCACCAAAATATAAACTGACAGCAAACAAAACTCCTTACTAGCACTGATGATATTACCTAGCTGGGTAATAAAACGTCTGCAAGAAAACAACCCAGCTCAGAAAGCGCCAAGCATCCCTCATGTTAACCCCGAGCTACAAATATTCTCCTTTATTAAAGCTCTGGAGTTGTAAGGAAAAACTGAAAAGCTGCTTTGGGGGAAAAAAACAAAACCATAAGCCCAAAGGGGAAGAGGAAGAAGGAAAATGGGCAGGTAACTCAGGAGCAAAGCATTTCCCTTCCTTGGAAAGAGTCACAAGTTCAACCTCTATTTTAAAAAGACCAGAGAGCAGGAAATCGGAAAAATCTTAGCTGGTTTTACATTTATTGGCAACTCCATAAATAAGCTACATCCTTTCCTGGGCTTATGAAGCCGATCCCACAGGAGGAACATATATAAATAAAGAAGGGTTGCTTTATGTTCCACCCAGGCCTGTTCTAAATTTCTTTTTTCTCTTTTAATTACTGTAGAGCTGTAAAACACAGTTTAGGAAGAAGAGTCAAAGTAAATCTCCCATCCTAATCCCCAGAAGAAAATCAATCAACGTCAGAGATGAGCAAAGAAGCAGTTGGCTAGAGGGGACCCTAAAAGGGCATCCACACCCGGTTCTGGCTTTTGCTTCTGCCGCTCAACAAGCTGCCTTCTACCAAACAAATACTGGCAACATTTTGCAGCGGTATTATTACTGCCATCTGTAGAAACCTCAAAGTTACATTTGTTTTGGCTTCGAAACAAAAGCAGTTGACTGTCCCAAAGCCAGAGGGATTTTTTTTTTTTTTTTTTTGATAAAATGTAACCAAAAAAAATGTTCAGTTTGCCCTTTTCTTATTTAAAGGAAAAAAGCAGAAGTATGCATACGTCAATGACAGAATCTGGTTCCAACCTCTGGACCAATATATCCTTGTCTGCTGCATCTCATTAAAAAAGTCCAGGCAAGACATGTGGCCAGTGAATACGATGCACGAAAATTAAGTGGAAGAGAGTTAATAAATGTTTGACTCTTTCTCCCTTATAATGCAGGGAGAAATTAGATTTTCATCAGTGCCCTTTTCTGTTTTGCAGTTCCATGAATTCCTCACATGAATATAAAAGGCCATCAGGAACAACACTGGGGCCAAGGAAGGAGAGAAAGAAAAAAACAGAAATGGCCTGTTTTAAAAAGGCCTCAGCTTGGATTATCAAGGTTTCAGATGTGGGACAAGGAATAAAGGGAAATATGCAAACCCGCCATAGGTCTTTTTTCAAGAACCCAGTTAATATACTTCCTGCTCTGCTCACTTCCAGTAATTTTCAAATAATTCCAAATACTGAAAAAAGATGCAACACAGAGAGCTTATAGTTCTAATTCCCAGATGGGCAGTCAAGGAAAATGCAAATATTTTGTGTTTTCAGGGAGATGCTGCTGCTCTACTCCCCAATTCTTTGGGCTAAATTCCTTCCACCGAGTTTGGTTTATAACTGGCTCTTCCTTGGCAGTCCTAAGGGGTAACTTCACACCTTTATGGGATCCACCATTAGATTAACAGTAGCAATCTTCTTCCAGAAGAAATAGATGTTGGGTAAATATATGTTAGGTGAGCCCACTCCCCTGTAAATGTTGATATTAATATGTCAGGCAGGTAGGAACATTGGAATTATATTGATATAGGCTAAAACAGAGGTCTCCAAACGTGGCAACTTTAAGACTTGCGGACTTCAATTCCCAGAATTCTCAGCCAGCTATGCTGGCTGGAGAATTCTGGAAGTTGCCACGTTTGGGGACCCCTGGGCTAAAATAACAGTGGTTCCCCTCCTTTCCCTGTATACCATATAGAGAGCCACTTTCCTGTTTCCTGCAGCCAAGTTCATCTTTTACTGACTCCCACCGTATATTTTCTTCTGTGGCTCTCTTTCTATTTGATCTTATATTGCCAAAAGAGAACCATCCACTCACAAGCCCCTTCTTCCAAAAAGCTCAACGAAAACAAGATTGCTGACTCTGGAAAGAGGGAGGGATGTGGGAAAGGGAGACAGAAAGCCGTGGGGAAGATGGGTGACTGAATGAATAAAAAAAAAAAAAAACACAACCCAGTGCAACTGATAGACTAACAAACAGCCGTGCGCCACCACGTACGATGGCAAATCCAATTAATATGTTAGTATTTGTACAGTCTAAGAAATGTTTTGACCTCCAGAGTCTGCAGGTGAAAAAAAAAAGATGAAAGGGCAATATGAATAGACTCCGATGAAGGTTTGTCTACTGATTAATATTCAAGCAGGTTGTTATCTGTCTTTATGTGGCATTCAAGAAGTTTGTGAATTGAAAAAGAATGGGGAAAGAACGGGAGGGGTAGCAGTATGGTGTGGTGCTTAAAGGAAACCTTTGGCAGCGATATCTCCAGGTTTTTCTGAAGTGAGGTTCAGAAAGTGTGGCCTACTAACATTCTTGGCGGCCCCCCAAACGGGTGTGACCCATTTTTGTGTGTGTTTTTATAATTTGGGCAGGTTTAGTGGGGCAAATTTGGTGCTTCAAACTTGTAGGTGCTTAAGGAGCCTTTTTGGGGGGACTTTAAACTTCCTGGGAGCTCTTCTGAAAGAGTTGCTGGCCCGTTAACTTTCAGATAGTGGCTCTCAACATGTTGCACACAGTCTGGTGTGTCCCCTCGGATAACAACGATTGTGAAGCCCTGTGCTAAGAGAGTTGAAGAGAGTTGAAGAGCACGTAGAAAAAAAGTACCTTCCCCTCCCAATTTTTTTTTTTATTACAAGCATTTTTCATTCCTGTAACATTGTGATACAAGAAAGATGCCCCAATGATTACAAGCCTGCCTCTTTCTTGCTTCTCAACTTGCGTATTGAGCCGGAACTTCTCAGCTGCCCTCATCTATTATCTTCTCAGAAACCACAATTGCTTGTCTTTTTTTCCCCTTTTAAAGACTTTATTGAATTTTACATAAATGTACGGATTTTGTTTTTTTTTAAAAAAGAAGCCCTTCCAGACTCCTCAGAGACACAGCCTAAATGATTCATCCAATTAGAACTTCATTTGGCTATTATGGAAGATTATTGAGCCATATAAATCAGTTCAGGTTAAGATGAAGGAGTAAGAAAATGACAAATGTTTATGGACGTGTCTAAAGAAATGGATTAAGAGAGAAAATCAGGAGACAGTGTGTGTGTGTGTGTGTGTGTGTGTGTGTAAAAATCAAGGGCAGATAGAGGCTTTCTGCAGAATAATTTTCTGCTACTTATTCAGTCTCTTAAATACATCAGCTTTCAATTGAAAATCACCAGACTCCTGCATCAAGTCAGTGCCAGTCCTGATACAGACCTACAATTGTGGTTCTGCACAGCTTAAAAATAAACCCATGGTTCACTGATAGAAAGGGATTAAGAAAAATCATGCACAAATAGTGGGATTGCTCACACACAGACATGCTGAAATAAATCAAAATAGGTACTGTGTAAATATAAACAGCCATGTACAAATATCACAGCTATTCATATGTACCAGAGGGGTTCCTTATATTTTTATTTTTTGCTACTATGAGGTGCTATGGATCAACGGCCTGGATAAAATACTATTGCAAGACAAAGGTAATGAATGAAATAAGAAAGTTCTCCCTGTGTTCCTAGAAAGGAATCCCCAGCCTTTCTAGGCATCTCTCGCAACTGGCAATGCTGGTTGTGACTTGTGGGCACCCCGGCTGACCCAATGTCAATCAGCTGATTGAGATGCCTGGGTTCAAATAAGAGGAATCCATTCAGGAGGATATAAGAATTTTAAGTACGATAAAGAGAAACATGGTTTTTATTTCTGTCCTCAAATGTTTTGCATCCCTCTTACTCTGGACCTCAACTTTCCCAGGCTGCGGACATGGAAAGGTAAAACCTCTCATGCCTTTTCCTGGGAGAAAGTGGAACCTGCAGATTTGCAGACTGTGCCTGGGTGCCCTACTGCCCTGTCAAAGCGGGACTACAACTTCCATCACGCCCAACTAAAGAGAAGTCAACTGATCGCCAGAATGATCGATCCTATTTAGAAACTGCCCACCTCTCTCAAAAAGGGACCCCTCCCAGGACCTCTTTTTTCTCTCTGCTGGAATGAGTGCCCACCCTTCCCTCTGGAGAGGTGGGGGGAGAGAGAGAAAGAGAGAGAGAGGGCTGATGCCATGTGAAGAAAAAGATCCCTCTCTACCCTTTCTCTCTCTCTCTCTTTTTTTTTGCTGCTTTTAATTTCAGACAGCCACAAAGGCTAGGGACTTTCTCCTTGCCCTGCCTGGGTCCTTTCCAGAGGAGCAGAAGCTAATTCTCCTCCACCCCTTTGCCCCTCCACCATGAACCATGATTCTCCCCCTCCCCAAGTCCTCTCTCCACCCCCTTTGGGGGGTTCCCCCTTGTCTTTTTCTTAGGGGAGGGGGAGGATAGAAGACCTCATTGATGGGATTCCCCCTCCTTCCCCCTTCCCATTATGACGCAAAACCCTCTGCTTCCCCTATTCCCAGGGTATTCCTAGGGATTTCTAGGCTAAGAGCCTACATGGGGGGATGGAGAGGGGGGGATGGCAAAGAAAGGGGTGCCCCCTCCTCCCCCCCCCCCTACGGGGCAAAGAAAGGGGCACCCCCACCCCTCCCCCCCTCCCTCCTCCTCTATGGGCAAAGAAAGGGGCGCCCCCTCCTCTCCTCCCCTCCCTCCTCCTCTATGGGGCAAAGGGCAAAGAAAGGGGCGCCCCCTCCTCCCCCTCCTCTACGGGGCAAAGAAAGGGGCGCACCCTCCTCTCCTCTTTC